CAAAAATGGGTGCTCCACCAGCGGCTGTAATGGTTTTGCGAAAATGGCAAGTTGAAATTCATGGCTTCTTCTCAGGTTAGTGGCTGCGCTCCAAATTTTAAGAGAAGTGTTCCCATTTTGTTTTGTTTTGTGAGAGCTCACACAGATTTTTTTTGTTTTTTTATGGTCATTGAGGGAATCAAAACTAATTTGAAAAATTGCTTATTAATACATTTGATTTTCTTGTGGTGCATTAACATGAAATCAAAGTTTTGCTTCTAGAGATAGAACATACGCGTCTAGTCGCCATATACAAGAACATACGCGTTCAGTAGCCATATACAGGAACATACGTGTCAAGTAGCCACATACAGGTACATTCACGTGTAGAAAAGCGATACATAAATTATACACACTTTGCTTAAAATACCGTAATTACCCGGAGAAGTGTGAAGCTACCGTTCCTCCCGTGTTGTATCATGGGGCAGAGTGGCAGACGCCCGGCTGGACCTGGCAGACGCCCGGCTGGACCTGGCAGACGGCCGGCTGGACCTGGCAGACGGCCGGCTGGACCTGGCAGACGGCCGGCTGGACCTGGCAGTCACCACAAGGCACAAGAATGACTTCCATAGGAAAACATGCTTGTGAGAGAGAGAGAGAGAGAGAGAGAGAGAGAGAGAGAGAGAGAGAGAGAGAGAGAGAGAGAGAGAGAGAGAGAGAGAGAGAGAGAGATAGTGTGAGTGAGTGTGTGTGTGTGTGTGTGTGTGTGTGTGTGTGTGTGTGTGTGTGTGTGTGTGTGTGTGTGTGTGTGTGTGTGTGTGTGTGTGTGTGTGGAATGTGAGGGTGTAGAGGGAGAGTGTGTGACGTAGAGCATTAGGGGTCAGAAGAACAGTTTGATAAATAATTCCTCTGATCAAGTAACATGACAGCGAAGTCATTTAGTCCGTAAAATAAAACAAATTATATATATATATATATATATATATATATATATATATATATATATATATATATATATATATATATATATATATATTAATGGTCTGACGCCTAGAAGCGTTTCGTAAGGGCTTCTTACATTCTCAAAGACTTCTTTACACTTATTACTACACTTATGATACACTTGATACATTGTGTATGAAACAAATAAACAAAAGTTTATTTGAATATATATATATATATATATATATATATATATATATATATATATATATATATATATATATATATATAACCATGAAGGAAGAATAAAGATAAATTACTTTAGCGCTTTCATATTAATCAAAACATCTTCAGAAGCATGAATAATACAATACAGTGGAGTGAAATATATACGCAGAAAAAGGAAAGATTTCTGCGAGGTGGAACAAAATTCCTTTATAAGAAGTGGTCATGAAACATAAGAAGAAACTGCAGAAGCCCTTTTGCCTATACATGTCAGTGCCTTTTCCCATAGGAACATTACTTTTATTAACTGACAGGACGGCAATTACAGCTAGGATAGAATAGGTAAAAACCCACATTGTGGACGGGTGCAATCGACAAGAACAGGTAAGAACAGCTATATAAGAACACCTCCTCTCAAGTCACAGCCCCGCTCCTGTGCCAGGTAAGTCCACTACGGGCTCACCATAGCCCGTGCTACTTGCCCAGCTCCTGTGCCAGGTAAGTCCACTACGGGCTCACCATAGCCCATGCTACTTGCCCCGCTTCTGTGCCAGGTAAGTCCACTACGGGCTCACCATAGCCCGTGCTACTTGCCAAGCTCCTGTGCCAGGTAAGTCCACTACGGGCTCACCATAGCCCGTGCTACTTGCCCAGCTCCTGTGCCAGGTAAGTCCACTACGGGCTCACCATAGCCCGTGCTACTTGCCCAGCTCCTGTGCCAGGTAAGTCCACTACGGGCTCACCATAGCCCGTGCTACTTGCCCCGCTCCTGTGCCAGGTAAGTCCACTACGGGCTCACCATAGCCCGTGCTACTTGCCCCGCTCCTGTGCCAGGTAAGTCCACTACGGGCTCACCATAGCCCGTGCCACACAGCACCGCTCCTGTGCCAGGTAAGTCCACTACGGGCTCACCATAGCCCGTGCCACACAGCACCGCTCCTGTGCCAGGTAAGTCCACTACGGGCTCACCATAGCCCGTGCCACACAGCACCGCTCCTGTGCCAGGTAAGTCCACTACGGGCTCACCATAGCCCGTGCTACTTGGAACTTTTTGTTCCGAGTAGCTGAATCTTAAAGAACAACAACAACAAGTATACAAGAAGAGAGTAGAGCGAGTAGGGTAGAGATAAGAAATGAGAGATTCGGTGTTTATGGCATCTTGCGTCACGGTTCACCAGCTTTATGGTCCTGAAGCCCGACCAAACATGCTCTTCTCCACTACCATGCGTCACCCTGGTGTTGTTGTTGTTAAAGATTTAGCTATTCAGGACGGAGTGTCCATGTAGCACGGGCTATGGTGAGCCCGTAATGCGTCACCCTGGTGTCCAATGGTATTATACCATGTACCATGCTCACCTCTACCATCATACTACCATGGCAACACAGTTGAAAATGCTACGGTCATTATTATCTAGAGTTTGGCGATAGTGAGAGAAAGAAGCAAGACTTTTTTTTACCCACGTTGGGGACAATGCTGATGGAAGCTTCACCCACTTTAGGAACTATGCTGGTGGATGCTTCACCCACCTTAGGAACTATGCTGGTGGATGCTTCACCCACCTTAGGAACTATGCTGGTGGATGCTTCACCCACCTTAGGAACTATGCTGGTGGATGCTTCACCCACCTTAGGAACTATGCTGGTGGATGCTTCACCCACCTTAGGAACTATGCTGGTGGATGCTTCACCCACCTTAGGAACTATGCTGGTGGAAGCTTCACCCACCTTAGGAACTATGCTGGTGGATGCTTCGCCCACCTTAGGAACTATGCTGGTGGATGCTTCGCCCACCTTAGGAACTATGCTGGTGGAAGCTTCGCCCACCTTAGGAACTATGCTGATGAAGCTCCATTTCCACAGAAAACTCCAGCAGAACCCAAGAAAATTTGCGGCCTAACGAGGCCACGGGAAGTTAATTTATGTGGGTCAAGAACATAAGACCGTCTCCACACTGGTCAATTACAGGACAAAATATAGCAAGACAAAGAAATCCGGCTGAGGTTGTGGGTAGTGAATATCGCTCAGGGGTCAGGGGTCAGGGTGGGGGGCGGGGGTAGTGCGGCCTCCTGGAAGCTGACAAATTGAACTGTTGATTAAATTGAGAACAATTAATTTGGATTTCTTTGTGTAATTAACAACTCGAGACGGTAAGTGAAGACACAGTAGCAGCAGGTAGCCCGGAAACCCCAAGATAACCCTTCAGGTCAGACCGGAGAAATCTGTAAGCCTGTGAGGTTCACCACAGTTCCACAGCGTCACATGAGGGCAGCCTTGATGGGTACAAGGTATTTAGTGCCTAACCTAGCATAAGCTTATCTTGCCTAACCTAACATGACCCAACCCAACCTGGTATAACCTCATCCTGCCCTAACCTAATGACAAATATATCGCTAACATTTAGGAAACGAGATTTGGGTAGGTAGAAAGAGCCTGAGTAGGATTTGACATCACTATAGCTATTGAAATAGAACATTCTCTGTAACTAGCTGACAGTATAAGGTGTGAAGGATAATTGAAATTGTTAATGTGATAATCTCCGTTGAGGTCTGATAAAGACCTTTTGTTCCCTCTATAATCCTTTTTGCGCTACCGCTCACAGGATGAGTATGGGGAGCACAATAACATACTCCCCTCCGGCGGCATCAATAAAAAATCTGCGCCATGGGTAAACATCCTTTATTACAAAATTGTTTCAATTCGAAATTATTTGTTTTAGTCTTGTTCGGTACGTGTTTAAGTCTCATTCAGTACGTATTACCGATAACATGAAGAAGGCTCTGGCGTTAGCAGAAACATTGTCGAAGGAAAAAGTAGGATAACGCTAAGTGAAAACCGAAATACTTCAACCGTGATTACTTGTGTAAAGGAGGAATGTATATGTTTATCTCTCAGAATGTTCGGTAATATGTTTATTGCTTGTGATGTGTGTCTATGTATGTATTAACACCATGTACTGAACGGGGTGAGAATAGCTTGAGCTACCTCATCCCTTTGTGTGTATTTTACCTCAATAAACTTATTTCAATTTCAATTTCAACCGTGATCTAAAGACAAACAACTTCAGAAATAAAAATAAATTAGCAAATGCTTTTTTTTTTTTTTTTTAACCTTTCTCACCCTAGTTGTATCTCTTGGCAGCAAAATTGTTGTGGAACTTTTGCCTCTGGAAGAGAAGGTAATTTTGAGGTCCAACAAGTCGATAGTTCGCCAACTCCCGACACGATGTGAATTGTTGAAAAATTATGAGCATAGTTGGTGGGCAATATTCGTGAGTTATTAGTCTGTCTTGCAGCTGTTGTACCCTTCCCCCCCCCTCCCCACGATCCTTACCACCCCCCCCCCTTCATCTCTATCACACACACTTGCTCGCTCTCTCTTACTCTCTCCCTCGCTCTTTCTCACGCTCTCTCACTTTCGAGCGCCCGTGCTCTCTCCCTCCCTCCCTCGATCACTGCCATGTTAATACTAAACCGCGACAAATGGTCGTTCATTTAGGTATGATAAAGACGAGGCATAACACAGTGTTTAGCATATATCATTCAGTCATAATCTACAGGATAACACGCAGCAATAGGAACACCCCGAGTCTGTTTCCATTCAAGATAACCTCAACTACTATTCATCGCGATAACCAAACGACACGGTCTTGAAGTTATCTTCGAGAGGGTAAACAGGGTCTAGGCACAGAGTAATTACTTATCTTGATGTAGGACAGTTATGGTCTTTATAGGCGAAGGATTAAGCTGGCGATTAGCCACACTAGTTAGGTCTTGTTGGGTTGCACGAGGTTAGAGTAACGGAGATCTTAGCAATTACTGAAATTATCAATAGTCGCTTTAGGGATAACTTGTAATATGGAGAGAGGGAGCATCTTGGTGCAACACCAGCGAGCAAGGAACCCCACGCCTCCGTGCAAGGAGCCCCACGCCTCCGTGCAAGGAGCCCCACGCCTCCGTGCAAGGAGCCCCACGCCTCCGTGCAAGGAGCCCCACGCCGCCGTGCAAGGAGCCCCACGCCTCCGTGCAAGGAGCCCCACGCCTCCGTGCAAGGAGCCCCACGCCTCCGTGCAAGGAGCCCCACGCCTCCGTGCAAGGAGCCCCACGCCTCCGTGCAAGGAGCCCCACGCCTCCGTGCAAGGAGCCCCACACCTCCGTGCAAGGAGCCCCACGCCTCCGTGGAAGGAGCCCCACGCCTCCGTGGAAGGAGCCCCACGCCTCCGTAGAAGGAGCCCCACGCCTCCGTGCAAGGAGCCCCACGCCTCCGTGCAAGGAGCCCCACGCCTCCGTGCACGGAGCCCCACGCCTCCGTGCAAGGAGCCCCACGCCTCCGTGCAAGGAGCCCCACGCCTCCGTGCAAGGAGCCCCACGCCTTCGTGCAAGGAGCCCCACGCCTTCGTGCAAGGAGCCCCACGCCTCCGTGCAAGGAGCCCCACGCCTCCGTTCAAGGAGCCCCACGCCTCCGTGGAAGGAGCCCCACGCCTTCGTGCAAGGAGCCCCACGCCTCCGTGGAAGGAGCCCCACGCCTCCGTGCAAGGAGCCCCACGCCTCCGTGCAAGGAGCCCCACGCCTCCGTGCAAGGAGCCCCACTCTCTCACGCTTCCATATAGAGGACGGGCATGGATCCATCAGTGCCGCCTGATCAACCTGCTATCAGGTCGCGGATCTGACTCCCGGGAGTTATTATGGTCCACCACACCTAGCCTATCAGAGCGCGCTACGCCGCGAGCCGTCACCTCGCGGCAGCGACTATCTACCGCGCGCACTACGCCATAAGACATACACCAATCCAGCAAGGGACAAGACAAAGGCCATTGTGGTTTGGGGAATGGAGATATCTGTTGGTTTATCTCAGAGGATCTCAAGGTGGCTGTCAGTTTCAAACCTTGCTGGTGTCCACCTGGTCAACCCTGCTGACACCGGGTCTATCCTTGCTAAATCCTTCTATGTGCTTCTTCCTGACATCACTATCCCCTCCATGCTTGCCCACACTCCCTTTCTATGCCACTACACCCTCCCATTTCCTTGTCATAACGCACTCCCCCACTCCCTAAATATCCCCCTCACATACCCCCCAACCCACGCCTCCTCTCCCTCTCCCTCCTACCACCCTACTTCTACACCTAGTCATACAACTGTGACTTTGATACCCATATATGTTGAAATACATATTTGGGTATCATAACTCAATCTACGTCACTAACTACCGTCCAACCACTTGGGCTGGACGGTAGAGCGACGGTCTCGCTTCATGCAGGTCGGCGTTCAATCCCCGACCATCCAAGTGGTTGAGCTCCATCTCCCCCCCCCCCCCACCCCTCCCACCGTCCATCCCAAATCCTTATCTTGATCTCTTTCAAATGGTATAGTCGTAATTTACGGCTTGGCGCTTTCTCCTGACAGTTCCTTCCCCCTCTATTTTCCACATTTCTAAACTATTACTGCCACTGGCACCTCTATATCTTATCCCCCCCCCCCCACAAACAACAGCAAAACAATCACAACTGCTGCCACCATATTGAACAAGGAACAAATACATACGTACACAACATCGTAATTATAACTTCATTGACTATTAATGCCAGTATTACCATTAATACAAAATACAGCTCTCTCACAATGTTGGTATTTATAAAAATTTATTTGAATAAAAAATACACCGAGTGTATGCAGGTGAGTCAGGTGTATACAGGTGAGCCAGGTGTATGCAGGTGAGCCAGGTGTATACAGGTGAGCCAGGTGTAAACAGGTGAGCCAGGTGTATACAGGTGAGCCAGGTGTATGCAGACGGGTCAGCTGACTGCCAAACAGAAACCGAGAAACAGCTGACTGAGAGTAATCTAGATGTCGATCTACCGACGATTGTATTGATTACGTGGAATGGTTGTTTAGTGGTCATTAGTACCTCGGTCAACATTTATCCTCTCCCCTCCCCCCCCCCAGGACCTCGATAAAAGTGTATGGAAGGGGTTACTAGCCCGCCTCAAGCAGCAATAGCCTTCTGGGTCAAATAATCCAAAGTCAAGACTAGTTGTTGTAGTGGCGGTGGTAGTAGTGGTGGTGGTGGTAGTAGTAGTAGTGGTGGTGGTGGTGGTTGCTTTATTGTGTGGCAGGAATACATACTACCTTTCCACATAATATGGCATCTGTCCTTTGTTTTCCAGCTCACGACGCGAGAGAGAGAGAGAGAGAGAGAGAGAGAGAGAGAGAGAGAGAGAGAGAGAGAGAGAGAGAGAGAGAGAGAGAGAGAGAGAGAGAGAGAGAGAGAGAGAGAGAGAGAGAGAGAGAGAGAGAGAGAGAGAGAGAGAGAGAGAGAGAGGGGGGGGGGGTTGATGTGGGAGTGAGCTTTCTAATTTTCTACTAGAATTAAAGCTAGAATCAATGTCATCTCTCCCATCCACATTGTCTTAATCATACTCTTGCCTTTCGCCTCTTCCATATATCCTCCTCCTCTTCATTATCCTCCTATTTATTCTCTTCTTTCTCCTCACTCTCTCATTCTCTTCCACCTCCTCCTCCTCCTAGCCACCCTTACTATACTGTTTAATGACGATGTGGATTTTAATTAAGAGTTTTTTCCCTGGAGGCAAAATTAATAGAGGAGTTACCAGGCCGTGACATTCAGCAGCCAATATTAACACTCGCCATACACAACTCTCCCATAATAAACAACACCACATAATATATACACCATGATCTTCACATCAACCAAACAACTACACAAAAATTACCAAAGAAAATACTACAACAAATACACCACAAAACACATACACCACAATATGGCAACGCCTTAATATGGAATTATTTTTTTCCTACCATGTCCAGTGATCATTAATAAGAAAAATGAGGAAAGTTGGAAGCCTGGGTACAGGTAGGGAAAAAAACTAATACCCAGCCTCTCTGGTGATGCTGCATGTCGCTCTGGGGTCTGGGTGGTGGTGGCTGGGGGGTGGTGGTTGAGGGTGGTGGTTGTGGTAGTGTGGGTAGGGGAGGTTGGGGTGGTATGGGCAGACGTGTGGGTGGGGTGTTTGTTGGTCGTGGAGGAAGTATGGAATGGGTGGTGCGAGTTGCCTGGATAAGGGAGGCGGGAGTCTGGGTAGGAGTGGTGGTTGTGTGTGTGTGTGTGTGTGTGGGTGGAAGTGTGGGTAGGGGAGGTGCCAGTGAGTGAGGGAGGGTGGGGGGGGGGGGTTGTAATGTAGGAGTGGGTGGTGTGGTATCAGCAAGTGACCACTATGATAATAAGAGGAGTAGGCTGACAGAGTGAAGGAGGCAGCAGCTCCATCATGGTCAACTCTCCCAACACCTGTCGTGTCACCCACCTGTCTATCTCTATTTTTTAATCTTAACACTATCTTGGTTATCTTCCAAATTTCTGGTAGGTCTCCTACTTCCAGTTGCTTGCTATATATTATAATAAGTGGCCGGACCTGTATAAACATTATAACTCAAGGAACACAAAAGAAATGTTAAGTCTGCACAAACAAACAATTCTCTCTTCTGTCAAGCTAGGGACTCTTAATCATAATATTGATTTGTCTTCTAAAATATTCTTTCCTGTCTCTACTCTTCACAGACGCCGTCTTGTGGAATCGGTTCTGATACACAACATGAACCTTAGTGCTGTCTTTGTTGCTGCTGACTCTTCCCTCTCACAGTACATACTCAAATGCATTAACCTTTCTAACAAACGTGATCTGACATAAGCCTACCCCTCTTTTTTTCTCTCTTACATTTTTTTTCTTTCTTTCTTCTTTTATTATTACGTTTCCTTTCTTCCGTCACCCATCTGTATTACTTTTTGCTTTTCGTTCTTACCTTTTCGACTTTCTGTAAATATATAGCTCTTGAAATAGCACTTTCTCTGTAACTAGCTGACATGTAACTATAAGGTGTGAAGGATAGATGAAATTGTTTATGTAATAATCTAAGATGAGATCTGACAAAGACCTTTTGTGCTCTCTGTAATGCTTTTTGCGCTACCGCTCACAGGATGAGTATGGGGTGCACAATAATCTAGCCGCCTCCGGCAGCAACAATCAAAAATCAAATCGTCGTCTCGTCATCTTCTGGTGCGTGGTTTGCTCATCATACCTTCAGCCACGTTATTGTGTCGTGGCTGCGTAAGTGGCCGGTGTAGAGATTCAGCCGCCCCTCTCACCGAGAGATTCTGTTTCGTTCCAATTCCCCTGGAAACACAAACCGAAACTCTCTCTATTTTCCGCTTGTTACAACTTGTAATAAAGTTGTTACATCTTGGCTTAACGTGTTTATGACGTATTGGAACGTTGTTACAACTTGCTATATTGGTTGTTATAACTGGTTAGGAGGTGTTAAAACTTGTTCGAACGTTGTACCAACGTCGTAGTTTCGGTGTGTGTTTGGCGGGTAAAAAATAATGTCCAACGCCAGCAGGTTCTTCCTTACCCCAGTGCTGCTTTGTGAGACACTATCCCACTCAGTATGGGCACTTCCCCTTGCTCTATTGTGAAGATCTGGAATCTCCTGTTGAGTCTTGCACGCACTTCCATGTCATTCTCTATGTTTCCTTCAGTATCTGTGGTTTCATCAACAGTTCTGAAGCGAATGCTCATCAGCTTGGGCTGCTACGTAATGATTTTTGCCTTGTCTCCTACATAATTTTCAAAATATCTCTCCGATTCTCTTTTAACTCTGAAGAACTCAGTCCAGGACCTCCGAGAGCTCCCCTCTGTTCTCTGTGGCTCTGTTGTCCCTGTAGTTTTCCTTGCCTTCGTGCCTATGTGCTTTACACCTTTCGTAAAACCCTGGATTAATCCTACACCCCTGGTAATGCTCTGGATTAATCCTACACCCCTGGTAAAGCCCTGGATTAATCCTACAGCCCTGGTAAAGCCCTGGATTAATCCTACACCCTTGGTAAAGCCCTGGATTAATTCTACACCCCTGGTAAAGCCCTGGATTAATCCTACACCCCTGGTAAAGCCCTGGATTAATTCTACACCCCTGGTAAAGCCCTGGATTAATCCTACACCCCTGGTAAAGCCCTGGATTAATCCTACACCCCTGGTAAAGCCCTGGATTAATCCTACACCCCTAGTAAAGCCCTGGATTAATTCTACACCCTGGTAAAGCCCTGGATTAATCCTACACCCCTGGTAAAGCCCTGGATTAATCCTACACCCCTGGATTAATCCTACACCCCTGGTATAGCCCTGGATTAATCCTACACCCCTGGTAAAGCCCTGGATTAATTCTACACCCTGGTAAAGCCCTGAATTAATCCTACACCCCTGGTAAAGCCCTGGATTAATCCTACACCCCTGGTAAAGCCCTGGATTAATCCTACACCCCTGGTAAACCCCAGAGGTTAATCTCGCACTCTTCGTAATGCCCAGGGTAAATCATATGTATCACTGCGTTGTGTAAATCTACATACAAGGAAAACCTCTCGCAAGCTTAACACTTCAAGAGAGAATACATAAAGATAAGTTTTTTTGGTTGATTTTTTCCGTTATCAGCTGAGGATTCCGGGGCAGCCGCATCAATCACTCTCCATCAACAGACTGGGATAAAAAAGTGAGACAATCCCCATCCTTTCTCACAAGCCAGCCTCCGTTCCTTGAAGGTGGCAAGCCAGCCTCCCTCACCTCCTGAAGGTGTCAAGCCAGCCTCCCTCACCTCCTGAAGGTGTCAAGCCAGCCTCCCTCACCTTTTGAAGGTGTCAAGCCAGCCGCCCTCACCTTCTGAAGGTGTCAAGCCAGCCGCCCTCACCTTCTGAAGGTGTCAAGCCAGCCGCC